CCCAAGGAACTTCATGATCATGATCATGTCTGGAGCCGGCTTATCCTTTCCAAGGAGCCAGCCGCAGTAAAGTAGATTCGGGTGAATTAACAGGCTTTCTATAAGGAAGTGCAAGATTGGTTTGGGTCGGAAGATCGAAACGAACAAAAGGACGTGTCTTCGGATTCAAATGATTGCACAACACACACTAATGTAAACGAAACACAAGTTCAAAGAGTACATTACGTGACGGACAACTGAGAGTCTACGGAGGAAAAGGTGAGAGCATACATTCAATATCGGGTAGCTGCAAAATCGGTCACCGTTTGTTTTTGCGTTCAACTTACCCGATTTACTGTTCTGGTTGATACGGCTTTTTTTAATACACACCGACGTGTGATGGACAGCAGACAGAGTGGAACCCCATAGTCACGAAGATCTGCTGTTCAGTGATGGTAACCGGCAACCTAAGCCCGGGAACTTGGAGTGGTGAACCACAAAAGGCCCCGATAAGTTAGGTGTGGTATTGAACCGGGCGACAGCAAAGCTGTTTACGAACAAAATTGGGTGGCGGTAGCGGAGCTCGAACCTCTAACCGCAGGTGATAGCGACTAAATCACTGCGCCACCAACACCCAACGCAACAGGCATTTCGAGTGAAAAAAACGGATGGTGGAAGCGTATTTTGGAGGTTTGCCTCAGCGTCCCGTGTCTGGTCAGTTAATGTTCGATTGGGAGGCTTCAATCATCGCCAAACTACGATCAGGTGACACAGAGTTCTGTCAGTGAACATGCGTCTACCGTTGAAGCCACACATACCGCTTGAAACTAGAATGCATAACTTGACTATAATCTAACATCTAATACACTCCACAAAGAGAAGAAAAAAGAAAGAATACAGGAGCGCTCAACAATGCCAAATGACACTTATTGATTACTTGAAAAAATACCTGAAAATGTATGAGAAACAACATCGAGATATCTACGCATGCAATCAGAATTTACTTGTTCAACTAGTGTTTTCTTCTCGCGCACAATGCCCAATGTGCGTTCATACGCTTTCTGGACCAGTTCGCGAACCTCCTGATCAATAATTTGTGCCGTCTGTTCGGAATACGGTTTGGTCAGGACCATGTCACCCTGTTGCGGCAGGTCGAAACTGATCAGACCGACTTTGGCGCTAAATCCGAGCTGTACCACTTGTGCATAGGCCGAACGAGTTACACGTTGCAAATCATCGACCGCTCCACTGCCCACTTTGTTGAAGAACACTTCCTCACTTGCTCGACCACCTAAAGCGAGACACATTTCGTCCAACATTTGATCTTTTGTGTGTAAATAAATGTCACGAGGTTGATATTGTGCGTAACCCAGTGCTTTTCCTCTGGGAATGATGGACACTTTGAGCAACGGGTTGCAGTGTTCCAAAAACCAACCGACAACCGCATGTCCAGCCTCGTGATAGGCGACTGTCTTTTTCTCTTCCGGTTGGAGAACCTTGCAGAGTGAAAATATGAATGTATACGTAAATTTCAATATGACAGGAAGGAAGAGAACAGAGTAGAGGGACACAAAAGATCCTTAGAGGCAACTCATAGAGGAATGACAAGAATTGTCTAACCAACAAGTTTTGAGGTACAAGGAGGGGAAGCGACTAATCTATCCTGCACTGATATAGTATGTGAAATTGAGATGAGCGACTTTCCTCGGCACTGAAGGGAATACGTGCAACTGGTCAAAACTGGTCAGATCAATCAGAAAACAATCACATCTGGGTAGCATTATCACTATTTGCCTCCGAATTTTCAAAACTAATACAAACTACAACCAAATCGTCATTCCTCTTCAGTCACTAAATTCCTTATCGATTCCGTTATTCGGACAGCGATTGCTCGTATGTGGCTCAACTATTCTGCCACGCTACTGTCTACACAAATACACTCCGCGCTCAGTCTCGTATTAGCCTCAGCTTTGGCTTCGGTTGATGCGGCCCGCCTTCCACGTTGGGGCCCAAGAGAAGAGGATTTTTGTTGGTTCGAAACGCTGAGATATAACCCAAAACAAGAGTCAGTGGCACGATTGCTGTGCTGTCTGTCTGATGAAATCCTGTACCCCATAAGACACCATAAACTAACATACAAAATATCAAAAATTGTACGGTGAAACAAACAAACAAGACGTTATTCTTGTTATCCACTATAACTGTTAGATCCCCATGTCACTGTTCTGTATCCCAAACCCTTCGTTCTCTAACATACGTGTTGTGCTGACATTATACTTGTTCGCAGGCCGGTGATACATACATATATATGCTACATATAAAGCGACTCAAAAGGACACAGATTGGTTGAATACTACCCAGACCGCAGAACTACTTTTCGGTATCTTACTACTTTATAGTGGTAAAAGAGGAGTGAAACAAATAATCCGGTCTTTGTCGGACACTTCACCGACTGTATGACTGGTCCGTTTGATACAACGGAATGCACGCATACAGATTAGTTGCAAGATATTTCACTTTCAATCACCCTCTTCCCAACAAAGCTCATTATTCCAACGTTTCAATATCGATTTCAAGTTGCAGTACGAAAACCGATCAACATTTTTAAGTATCAATAGCCTTAATATCGTCTCTATGGGTGGGGTCAAACAGTGCAATTCACTGTTACTGTATTACTCTGTGCCCCAGGACCCGCAATGCAAACACCACCATCACTACTAGCCAACTTCGATGGTGGACGGTGTCGTTGTTGTCCGGTTGAATACTGCCGTCATTCCTCTAGAAGCCTATACGATTTACCGCCAAGTCTCTGCTAGCTGATTAACTGTTCCTACTGGTCATCATACTGAATTAGTGAGAAGTGAACTCACAAGTGCAAAAATATGAAAAATGATAATGAGCAACTCAGAACATTTCGAATCAAGACAAAAGCCAATAACGGATCACATGGGCAACATTGTCATTCCCTCAAACAAGGAGTCAAGAGGTTTCGGGGAGGGAGGGGGCAGATAAACAAACCCACCTGACTTTTCTTTTCCAAACCGGCCACAACACGATCAATAGCCTTATCAAAGTGGACCAGAGTCACGCTGTTTGCATCTTCACGTGCAGCAATCAGAGCAGCCTCGTTGCACACACTGGCAATATCCGCCCCCGAGAAGCCCGGGGTACGTGTGGCCATTTTGCGAGCCACCAGTTGCGGATCATCCGCCAATTTGATTGGTTTCAAGTGAACCTGACAACAAAAAGGTGGGCGGGTTACGTAAGACAAATGCCATTTAGGATGGGTTGCACGATCGATGGGATTTGATCATCGAAAGAGTCTATAACGACCGGTGTGGATTCAGACTACACTGGACGGGACTTTTCACTGAAATGAAAAGGTCACGTATGTATTGCGTCGATGCCCGGTCAACTCCCGTGTTACCACTGTGAAACCTTGAACTTGTGAGTAGAATAAATTCATTACCCAGTGTTTTTTGACAATCTATGCTTGCGTAGTTCGGTGTAGATCGGAACGAGTGAGCAGGCTAATAACCTCGAGGTAAGTCGTCGTATGTTTGAGAATTTAGCCCCGAAAAAATCACTATCACATCGAACTCAGGTTATTGCACTTTGATAGTTGGGATACGCATTGAAAATGCCTCGTAGTCGTGTATCGCCCCGCGCCTCATTAACAGATGCTACCATCCCGGCAAGAGAAAATCACGTGAAGGTCAACAGGTAACGTGAAACTGAGGCGCGAAGAAAGGCACAGAGCAATTAGGTGTCTCCCGTCTTAAAAGCTGGGGTGCAAAGGGCTATGCAACTGGTTGGTTGGAAAAACTAGAGGAAAGGAAATCGAACCGACAGCAGCAGTAGTGTCGAATTGCACAATTCGACTGTGTTGACAAAAGAAATTCACATTGCTTTCACTCCCCTCAAAACAAGTCCACACCCCCATCCGTCTTACTCGTTCGTATTCAATTTATGCATATTGTGAGTTGGACAGCGTTAACCGAGGGTCACTGAAGTGTAGTTCACTGCGGGATAGTGATAATGACGATGAACCATGGCGAATAAACTAAGCCAGTTATTGCTTCATTCGCAGTGGTTTACAGAGTTTTCACTGAGAGGGAAGTTTGATTGGATGTATTACTGACTGATGTTGAGGCTGTAGTAACCAACAGCAAGCAATTCTCGCCGTGACATACACACAGAAAAGGAATGGAGCTAGACAGTGAAATTCTATCACGCTCCAGAATATTGTAGTAGACAGTACAGCATAATTGAGAAATTTTGTCGTTTATGCGTGGTGCGGTGGTAACTTGTTTGCAATAGGGAGCGATGAGTGTCCACAAAAAAATCGCTAGCCACTCACCTTGGTGCTCATCAGGAAGCACTTGACTGAGGGTTAAGCCGCTGGTATTAGGGTGCAGGGTGCAAAGTACGCTACCACTAACCAGCTCTGTTGTCGCCCGACTCAATACGACAATTGTGGTGGTTCGACTTCATCTGCGGTTCGCCACTCCAAGTTCTAAGGCTAAAGTGACCGATTTCCATGAGTGTGCAACACATTTGGGCGACAATGTGGTTTACCCCGTTTGCTATCTACCATACAATGGTGTGTAACAAAGAAAACCAAATAGAGCTATATGTGCATCCTCGAAGATCTCAGATCGAATGGAACTGAGTATGCTACTACTCCCTGTATTCTTTAAGGTATCGTCCATAAAGTCGATGACCTCTCTTGAGAGACAGTGGTCCAAAAGAAAGGGACAGATGAACACGGGTTAGCATGAGTCACTACTACAAAAATCATATAATGATCGAGCTTAGAACGCAAACCTTGAAGATGGATGCACGACCCTTGATATCTGGAAGTGAAACGTAGATTTGTCGATCAAATCGTCCGGGACGAAGCAAAGCCGGGTCCAGAATGTCAATCCGATTGGTAGCGGCTAGGACGACCACGTTTTCCTGAGTAGTAAATCCTGACCGTCGGGAGCGGGGACGCGGGGGGTGGTAGAAAGAAACACGTGTCAACGAAATCGAGATGTAAACTGTCTCACCGATAGCACCCTAGGGTACGATCAGAGAGAAGATTAAACATCACAGGCAGCCAAACTTCCCGGACGAGGACGCCCGGCAGTTTACTGCCTTTGTGTAATCTGTTCATCACCGATAGGTCTCAGAGTACAGGAAAAGGATGGAAAAAAATATCGCGATAATTGCCGAAGCAACCAAGCATGAACTTAAAGGCAAACAATTCCTGCCAATAGCAAAAAAAACAACTAACAACTCAGTTGGAATAAAGCGTCAAAACAAAATAACGACAGAAATCAAAGACAGAGAAATCGCTAACGCATCAAATGATCGCAAAAACAATCGCTACTCCAAGCACAAGATACTTTACCCCGGGTTCAGACAATATTTGACAGGTGTTGTGTGGGTGGGTGTGCACAATCTCAAATGGTTGACTACTGCGCGAACACTATGACTCTGTACGTGACACATGATGAAGAAAGGTGCTCGTCAATCGTCCTGTTGTAGCACATGAGTCAAATCGATCTGTTCACTGTGTCACAGCAACAGACCAGGGTCTGTTCCTAATTCCCACAGCGAACAAGGGTGGTGGACCCGCGTCAGCCCAAAAGCTAAATCGAGATTGGAAAATAGCAATGAACATGAGCATGCCGTTTGATAAACCGACCGAACCTCCCGGACCAATTCTAAATGATATGCAGCATAACAAATTCGCGATCGAGAAAAAAAAATAGCAAAGCTATGGTGGGCAAATGCTTGGACCTGAAGCACAATGCAGCTTGCTTTTCAATGCGGAAGCTAGTTTAACGACAGGGCTTCGAACGTGATATGATGATATTTTAAGGTTTGGAGATTTTCGCCATGGTCAAAACTGATACATGAACACAGACTGAAGAGTAGACGATGAGAATATGTACCTCAAAGCTTCATGTTCTACTTTGAACAATCCGGGAGAACTATTTCCGTTGTTGGGGATACTAACTACTTGCGTCTTTGCCAGGACTCGAAAGGTGAATTTTTGTTTCAACGACAGTGCCATTGGTGAGCCAACACCAAAAGCATTCCCACGAGGGAAAAATCAAAAAATGTTCCAGGAAGTGCATGCAACACTCAAAAGACAAGAACACCAAGAACACAAAAACTTGCGCCTGTGACTAATCAAAACTTACCATCCTGGATTACACTTCAATTCGGGTTACTACGACAGTTGGCATATGTGTTAGAAAAAAATCAGCACAAATGTGGCGATAAAATTCACCAAGGAGTCTGTCAGATTGATACAGAACCCCTGTGTGTTCCACGACCGTCCAAAGATACTTCTAACTGCCGCAAACGATTGGCGGGGGGATGCGACGCATAACGAGAAGCTGCAGAGGAAGGCCCTTTGAAGCACGAAAATTTTATTTATGAACATATGTT